ATGATCCACATACCAGCTAGAAAAGCTTCCCAAGAGCAGAGCAGCAGAGGGCTGCGCAGCATTAAACACGATTATGATGCAGTCTCTGTGCTGGGGACGCTCCAGCCCCAGCTGATTGAGAGCTACAAAGTGCACAACTGCAAAATCTGGAGAGGGGATGGTTCGGGGCACACACCCCACTCATCCCCTCATTTTTATGGCAATAAATCTGCAGCTGCTCCCAGGTTTCCACTCCAACACCGTGCAGCTCTCAACTGAGAGAGAAAATAAAAACCTCACTTACCAAGATGTAACTGAACGTCTTTCACTTCCAGGGTGTTTGACTTGCGATGCCGCGCGAGCTGGCAGGCAGCCGTCACCACGCTCTCTATGAAATCATCAGCGATCTGCAACAGCATCTGTGGCAGAACAAGGACAAGAACCGGTCTTATCAGCACAGAGCAGCTGAAATTATGCACAAAGTATGAAAATGAACCCGCAGAAGCCGGTATTTCCAAGGTGTTTGCTACAATTACTGGTTTAAAACCCTTCTTGACGCTGGGACGCAGAAACAGACACGGATGGCTGAAAGCTGCAGCGAACATGAGAACATAGGAGGGTGAGATGAACCAACCCTCTCTGCCTGGGACAAAGGGCAACTGCTCTGTGAAAATTCCCAGATTAACTCTTTGTGCAGCCCCTGCCATGGGTTGGTACCTACTTCCTCCACATCTTCATCCAGCTGCTCGTTCGGATCCACCTCACGCACCAGGTCCTGCAATTTCTTCTTGGTTAAAACCTGAGCACGTGGAAGAAGAGGAATGATTTACTGCTCTATTTTAGCAAAGCAACTGCCCACGCAAGAACTGCCCAAGCACAGCCACACAAGATCTCCTCCCTCTTTACTCCTGAGGCTGAAGTCACACGTATTGACACAGCGGATCAGTGCAGGAGTGGGAGAGGTAAGTAATATCAGGTGTTGAGGAGTCATTTTCAACCACCAGTGGTTGCTGTGAGCTGAAAGTGGAACGCAGCAGGTCAGGAGAAATAAGGCTCATGCACTAAACTGGCACTAAAATGCCACTGGCTGAAGCAAATCTGCCAGCAAGAGGGGACAAAGGTAGAACTAGAAGTTTTAAGAGGCAGACAGCAAGTGCAAGACCCGCATCAGCGACTGGATTTGTGCTCAGGGCACACAGGAAGTATTTCAATGGCTCTAGCGCTTATCAGCTTCGGGGTTTCAAATGGAAAACAGAGATAAACCCAAGTGCTGGGTTATTCTAGGGCAGAAGGCAGCGTCCTCTCAGCCCAAACAGGGCAGGGAGCAGAAATTTTACTGCTGCTGAACACCAGCAGGACATTTAATCTCCTAGGATATGGATGAACATTATCACCACCGACCCCTCAGCCCGGTCAGATGAACCAGACACACGTGGGAAATTCCTGCCCTTCCCGGTTCCCTCAGACCAACGGCGGAGCTGCCGCGCGTGTGTCTGTGTCAGGGGACCAGGACACTTCCCAGAGAGGTCCTGGGGCCAGTGAAGCCCACAGAGAGGTCAGGGTGTGCTCCTGGAGCACTCGGCTGGGCAGCAGCGTCTGAGACTCCAGATCACAACAAGCAAACACACAGTGAGCAGCTCCGGGCAGCGATGCCGCCTCTCATACTGCCCCAGTGAGATGCAGGTTTCAAGCTTGCACTTTTATTTCTCTTATTTAAACCACATTTTAAAATAATTTCCCAATCACACACCCAGTACATTTTCCTGAGCCTGAAACAACCTCTACACCTACAGTGTCCGTACTCCATCCAGCCTGAAAGTACCTGGGAGGGAAGAAATGGCTCTAAATTGAAAGAGGAGAGATGGAGATGAGATCAGAGGAAGAAATTCTTTGGTGTGAGGGTGGTGAGACGCTGGCCCAGGTTGCCCAGAGAAGCTGTGGCTGCTCCTCCCTGGAAGTGTTGAAGGCCAGGTTGGATGAGGCTTTGAGCAACTTGGTCTAGTGGAAGGTGTCCCTGCTGATGGCAGGGGGGTTGGGACTGGATGAGCTTTAAGGTCCCTTCCAACACAAACCAGTCTGGGATTCTGTGATTCTATGAAATACATGAGATGTTTGCTCACACAGTAACTGATACTTTAATAGATAATTAAGTTTTTGACAGTAATTTAAGGAAGGAGAGGAATTAAGCCACAAGCAGGTTTGGACATCTTCCCTACTGTCCTAAAGATAGGGATGAAATTACCTGGTTGCTTTCAGGACTGAGCCGTCCTCCTCCGCTGGGCGTCCCAGGCATCTTTGCCACGGTGGTGCTGTTGGCCATGGAGCTCTGCGGGGGAGTGCTGGCTGGTTCTGGCTTTATGGAGGAGAAGTTGGAGAGGTTGATCAAGGTAGAAGGACCAAATTGGTTCATAATCTGTTGGGCTTTAGCTTTTAGATCATAAAGCTTATCTAAGTCTTGCTTCTTCTTGGGGTTGTGGGGACCCAAACCGATCAACTGGAAAAGGAAACAGAAGTCACAGTTAGTAAAGAGAGAAGGAATTCAAGGGGATGGTCTTTGTCCAGCGTCCTGATGGGGCCCAGAGGTTTATAGAAGATCAGGACTCTTTGGATGCAGCAAGAAGAGAGGAACAAGGTTTAGAAGAAGAGAAAACATTCCCTGGGATATGGAATATGAAATTTGCCATGAGAAGCAGAGCGGCTGCACAGCACACGCTGGCAAGAGGTGGCAGCTCTGCAGTGGGACCCGTCTGCTCGCTCCTTGGGCCGAATCCCACACGTGTGTCCAGCCCTCACCCTCCAGCCAGGGCCTTTCCGAACACATTTCACTCAGAGCACAAACAGCTTCGAGGAAGAGACCATGCAAAGAAGATTTAACTATGGAACATGGTTTGCTCCCATGGTGGCAACGCAGGGGAACAGCGGGGGAGCGTTCGAGTCATCATCTCCACACTCCACATGCCTGAGAAGAAGAGGAGAACGTTCAGGCTCCATTGGGTGTCTCCTGGCAAGCTGGGGGGGGGTCTCATTTTTAGAAACACACTTCCCTCGATGAGAACTTGACCACGTAGGGTTCGTTTTACAGTTCTGAGAGTGCAATTCTGGGCACTCAGAGGTAACACCAGTGTCCAAACCTTCGATTTGTTCCTCCCACACCTTTGATTTGTTCCTCCCACACCAGGCAACCAACAGCCACAGCAAATGAAGTCAGATTGAGCTGTTAACAGTGAACCAGAAATGGGTTGTGGCAGCTTAACTGGTTCCTCAGATCTTCCAGGTTCACCCTTCAGTGCCCTGAAGTTATTGAAGTTACTGGCCACTGAACTAACACACAGACTGACTGGGAACTCCTATATTCATGGCTGGGAGGCTCTAAAATCCAAGATCAACAAAGCTTTGTTCTGTCCTCGCTGCTCCATGAAAAGAAACTCATCCAAACTCTGGGTCTTCATCACCACGAGCAGATCTGTCACGTTAAACGAGGATTTAACGCACAGTTTGATGTAAAACCCCTTCGTGTTGGGCACAGAGATGGGTGAAAAGCAGCTGCTGAGAGTAGATGGATTTTTGGAAAAATCCAAGTGTTTTGGGGTGAGCTTCATTATGAAAGAAGAAGAGAGTTGGTTTAAACAGCTTTACACCATGACAAAGGGATGAACGGGGATGAACGGAGCGTCTGCCACCCGAGCTATAAACCAGACATTTTCCCCTCGTCAGGGCAAGTTTTGTTAGTTTGGATTAATTCAAAACGCAACCCAGAAATCACACCAGGGTATTCAGAAGCAGCTGCTTTAGTGTTTCAATCCAAGGCACGCTCATGCACCGCCACACAGCCCTCTGAGGAGAATTTAAATCCAACACACATTTCTGTAGCAACCTACAGCAAATTCTTATTTAAATTAAAATTCAATTTTAACTAATTAACAATGGAAAACCGTTACGTCCACACCCTAAAACTCCTCAGATTCAGGCATTTCTGAATGAGGAGCTGAGCACAAGAGCAGGAGGGATTGCAGAGTACTAGTCTTGGTTTTAGCTGAGGCTGATCTCAGGCTGCTCACTCCCAAACCTCAGTTTAAAAATCCACAAAGCAGGAATTCTTACCCACCATGCAGGGGAGCAAGCTCCAAAATCCTGGGGCAGCACTTAATTAACAGAAAAGTCGTTTTGTTCGTTTCTTTGCAGATCTTAGCTCACCCTTTACGTGCCGTTAAGATCACCAAACACAAAACCAGGGGGATGTGCAGATTCCCAGGATAAACCACACATGCCAGCTCCACGGCAAACCCCCCCCAGTGCTTTACTTACAGCTATCTGAGTGTCTAGATCTTTAATGACATCCGCAACCACTGTGGGGCCAGCGAACAGAGAGGCCATTTCCCCAAGGCCTTCCCAGGAGGTCAGCAGTCAGCGTTACCTACTCTGGCTTCCTCCTCTTCCATATTAACTCTCCTTCCTACAGGAACACCAGATATTTGTTTTTGGTATCACCCATTCTAAGATCAGACAAGAGAGGACACTGTGTCCTCGCTACGGCGCAAGAGGGTTGATCTTCTTCACTGTGAGGGTGGTCAGACACTGGAACAGGTTGCCCAAGGAAGTTGTAGATGCCCCCTCCCTGGAAGTGTTCTCGGTCAGGCTGGATGAGGCTTTGAGCAACCTGGTCTAGTGGAAGGTGTCCCTGCTGCTGGCAGGGGGGTTGGAACTGGATGATCTTTAAAGTCCCTTCCAACCCAAACCATTCTATGATCTATGAGAAGACAGGAGATAATAGTGAGCAGAACGTTGTTGTGGAAGAGGAGGCATCTCCCAAGATCCTGAAACTGGAGTAGAAATTGGGTCAAATCTTATTTTTCTGTCAGAAGACAGAATATCTCGGTATCTGCTGCCAACAGCGACGCGCAGGTGAGGCCGGATCTCTGCAGCAGCAGCTTCTCTCCACAGCAAGAACAGGTCTGGTGGCCTCAATTAGCACCACCGAGCTGCTTGTAATTTGTTAGCATTGACAGGGTTCCAGCTGTAATTAAAATCTATGTTAAAGGCAAACAAAGCTTCAGTGAATTCCTTGGGGTGCTCGGGGGGCTCCCACTTCCATTAAGACATAATGATTTCCAGTAAATATTTCAATAAGTTGTCAAAGGACTGTAGGGTCCAGGTGTCTCTTTATTGTTAATAGAAAAGAAAAAAAAAAGGGAAAATTATTGTTTTTTTGCTTTAGTTATTAGAAATGTGAGAAAATCCTCCCTGAGGCCATCATCAGAGGAAGCATCTGTGACAGGGACTGACCCGTCAGGTGCACGAGCTAAAAGGGAAGGAATAAAGAAGTCCTTTTTTTTTCCCCCCTCGGATGTGTTTGTTGGATGCTGAAGAGCAACTCAAACCTCCCTCCTCCTC